GCTCCCCGCGGAAGGGCGGGGTTCACATTACGTCAATTCATTTCTGTCCTTCCACGACCAACGTCATTGCTGCAGGTCAGCTGAGAACTGAAATGGCAAAGACACGCGCGTGCTAAAGTTAGACTTACGCTTGCAAAACCTAGAAATGCACTGTAAAAACCAGACCCAAAAGTTTTAATGCTGCAGTCTGAATACATCACACGCGTAGCATGCAGGCTGTAGCCCATAAAAATACGGTACTTTACATACATTATTATATATATGGAAATCACCCTCCACCCCCCGCGCTAATTCTCCGAAGCAGAACAGAAAGCTTTCCCTGCGCTCGTTCCTTCAATCCCCCTCCTTCTCCTTCCCAAGTGGGGGATCATCAGTTGGCACAAACGGATACACAGAAGAACTAATACAACCCCCAAAGCGCCTGTTGAACCAAGGCGGTACCGCTGTCAGGCAGACGTAAACCACTAACTTGGTACTCCTGTAACGTTTACGTGCCAAACAGTATTTTCTGCTTCATTTCGGTGGCATTTAAATCACAACTACAGCTGTCTAACTTAGATAACTGAGTAACATATTAAACGCTATCTAAGTCTTGTAACTAAACAGCATGAGTGAAAAAAAGTGGTAAAAATTCATCTCTCCAAAAAATCTGAGTCAACTGCCTGCCGCAGTAACTTTAAAATCATTTATAAGCATAAACAAGTCAGATAAATATGGCCAGTTTAAATTCTAACACACCGCGTTTCAAAATGAACCTCTCGCCCACACCTTTTCAGCACTCTCAGTATGCCCAGCAAACAGAGCAGTGAATTACCGCAACATTTTTTTCAATGGTTTTAGAAAAAGCCAAATCAACAGCAAACACGGGGAAAAAATAAACCACTTTCCACACACAGATAGAGCAATTCGACTTCATTCTTGGCAATCACCATGACAGCAACCAATTAGCACACCAACTCAATCAGTGCCTTGTTGCACCGAGATTTCCAACAAAGGCACCAATCTATTCGTAGCCTTTGAACACAAGTTCAGGAAGAATCGAGCTGTTCCCCTCACCCCCCAAAAATAAGTTACATAATCCAGCATTAGAAAAAACCTAAACCAAAATGCTCCCGACGCACCTACCGACTGCCAAGCTTTGGATTCCAGGTCAGTTATGCAACTGCTACGTGACCGAGGTAGCGCAGCAATCGCGGCAGCGGCCACTACACTTCCCAGCCTCCCGTTCCTTGACTTTGTGCAGCCCTGCTTTATTCCCACAGCAAAACCAATGCACTTTAGCAGAGGTGTAGGACTTTTAAAATAAGCATCCTGCAACTCTGGCGGATGGGAATCCCATGGGATTGTCAAAGGAGCTGGCAGTTGCATCTGTCCTCTCCTGCTGTTTCTGGAGCACCAACATTGCTACATTTGCTTATTTTGTGTATACATTAACTGAAAATTCTCTCAGATGAGCATTACTGCTGCACAGGAGGAAAGAAACACCATTTCACATGGGCAGCTAACAGTTCTCCGCACGCTCCCCCCCCCCCAACCAGCAACATTAGAATTCTTCTTCTGCATTTGGAATATGTGAACTCTTAAATTTCTTGAGCTTTTCAATAGCAGAAGATACTGAAATCTCTCCATGAACTTTGTTGTCTCTTGTTCGCACGTTGACAGCGTTATTTGCCTTCTCCTTTTCTCCAACCACTGCAAGACATATCACAAACAGTATTAAACTGACTACCTACGTTACAAAATGAGAGGCTAGACAAACTCCATGCCCAACATTAAAACGTAAATGATATTCAGAAAGGTAAGATGCTGCAATTACCTAAGATAAAGTTATACTGGGCCAGCTGTGCATTTCTAATTTTCTTGTTTAATGTGCAACTTTGATCTAGATCCACATCTGACATAAATCCTGCTTCAAAAAATTCACTGCAAACCTAAAAAAAACCAAACAAACAAACAACACAAACCCCCACTTGATATTACAGTCTGTGTTCTACAATACAAATTTGTACATGCTGTAATCTCTGGTCTCTTCCAATGATTAATTCACATATGCGCATGATTTTGCGCTTGTGAATCGTCGTAAGGGAGTCAATGAAGTTATGTGAAGAAAAGTGCACACACACTTAAGGGCTTAGCAGGACTCCAGTTGGAAGACAATACAAGGTAGCTTCCAGATCAAATATTTGCCGATCTCTTCTGACAGTTACACTGCTGAATGTCAAAAATGTTTCCTCAGACTACGAAAGGAGAAAGAGGAGAAGGAACAAACCCATTTATGCTTGCATTAAAAGAAAAGCAGGGGAGAGGGGTAAAACCAACCATAGTCAAATGTCATGCAGTCAAGAGTGTATGTGCTGGGAAATGGAAGAAACTGGCTCTGCCCCTACTTTAAGCAGACAATTCTGTAATGACACATTAGTTAGTATATAAGGTTTGTCATCCAGAATGTTTTTTCCACTAATAATTACCGAGGTACGTACACAGTAACACAACCCAAACCACCTAAAGTTATATATCCCTTTTTCAGTTTTAGACTATATGGAAAAATTTACCTCCTCCCCCCAAACACGTCTCCAAAATTATTACAGCATTCATTCTATGTTCTAGGACAAGTACTTAAGGAGCTATTAAAATTCCTTGCTACTATAAAAAGCCCCTACTCTCACCTGACGGGCGTACTCTTCAGAAGTAGGTCCCACAGGCACAACCATGACCTGCCGTGGAGACAGCCAGAACGGCCTGGCAAGCAGGACAAGACAAATATGAAATAAATGTGCATTTTACATTTGCATTTATATCCGGAGTCACAGTCCCCAATAAGAAGTATTTTTATAAAGAAGTTGTTCGCTAAGGATGTTAGATAAAATGTTCTCTTCCTCTTTTCAAGTTCACATAAAATAGCAAATAGATTGATTCCAGTAAAATGACGTATGCAAAACTTTGATCTCCTGTTCACTTCCTAGCTGACTTCACAATTTTAAATAGCATTTTATTTTTTTCCCCATAATTTCCACTTTTATTTATAACTTTATAACGAAAGATGGGTAGTCAGACCAAGAGGTGCCTAAAAGTAAGAATTAACTCTTCTTTAACAGTTTAAATACATTAAAGAAGAAATATCTTCAGAGCTTATTCAAGATGAAACAATACATCTTACAGGTTAAAAAAAAATATTTTACATTAGGACTAATTCATGTCAGTATAAATAAAATAAGTAACGTCTTCCCAGTACAAAAGCATGATTTTTAAGAAAAAAGGAATAAGAATAATGCAGCATACATACATTAAATTACCATTCTTATTTCTGCTTTCTTGTATAATTTTCCCTGCAATCTCATGAAACTGAAATTCTAATAATGAGCTATTATTAAAGGGGTATCATACAACTCAAACCATAAAATTAAACTTATTTTCTGGTAATCTTACCTACTAATTTTGAGAAGATTCTAGGGATATTATTTTGCATTATAATATACAGGATATCAGGGAAGATCTGTATTTTTTATTGTGTTAAACATTCTTAGAACTGCATTTGTGGTACATACCATTTTCCTCCATAATTTTCTGCTAGAATAGCTATCATTCTCTCCACAGATCCCAAAATAGCTCTGTGAATAATCACTGGCCTTTTCTTATCATCGCCATCCTTACTGAAAAAGAATAAGTACAGGTTTGTTTGGGGTTTTTTTTTTTTTTAAATAATTCTCTTAGCTCACACACACAGAATCAAAAATATTAGTACAATTACCTTTTTCATGGAAAGACAAAGTTTAGTTATTTATACTTAAGCACAATCTACTGTTCTTAATAAAAATTACCAAATAATCATAGTGACTTAAAATAATCATGCCCATAGCTAGTGGTATAGGCACTAACTCCTAAATTTGAAAAGACACTCGGCTGACTCAACTCCATTTCTGTGCATTTTAGTATTTTATGTTCTTCCTCATGCTTTCTTTTCTGCTATGGCTTGCTTTTATGTTGTTGCACAGGATCAGCAGCATTTACAATTAGAGTGAGCTATTATTACATTGAGGAAATGTCTTCAAGTTCATGACTCAGTCCTCTACTCACCGAGGATGTCTCCCCTCCAGGCTACTGATATACAGGCTAATCATTTGTTAAGTGAGCAACAGAGCATTCATACATCTCATTTTAATGGGGATTACAGATAATGGAAGTGACCCGTTATTTTTTTTAATTATTTCATTTAAAAAAGAGGAAGATATTTAGCTTAACCACTCACCCAACATAAGTAAGATTAAATCGAATGGGTAGTTGGAAGTCAAGTTGGATAGTAGCACACTGATGGTACCTGCCAATGGCATCTTTGATTTTAATATCAATCTGTGAGGCAAAATAGCACAGTTATTAAATATAGTTTGCTTGCACTGTGTCTATATTCTTGTCCATCCCAAAGTTGTATGCAAAATGCTGATTCACTAACCTTAGGACCATAAAATGCTCCATCTCCTGGATTCAAATTCCATTGCTCTCCAAAGTTATCCAAGCTGTTTTGAAGTTGCTAATCATAACAATAAGAGAATAATAAAAAAAAGGAACAGGGCCTTTCATTACTGTAAGTCAAAGTATTTGCCTTTGAAATACAAAGGAAGTCAGACAGCGTGACTCCTATTGTGCAAGCTTCTAATAATTTATGACAAATAATCTTGAAATAACAGTAGTTCCTTGTACAAATGTTGTGATTAATTGGGAAAAAAGATTAATAAAAATCAAATCAGTTCAAGATAAGGGGTTAAGTAAGAATCAAAATTCTCATTTTATATGGTAACTTCACATTTAACGTGATGTTTTTCAACAAGTGTTTCCACTAAGGACAATATTTAGTGTCTCGTTTAAGCAAATTCACTATTCAACATGAAAGAACGTAATTAAATATCCACCTCTGCAAATACAAACATTAAGGGTTTTGTTTGTTTGCTTTTAAATTAATTACCTTTTCTGCATGGTCCCAGATCTCTAACTCTCCCAGATAATTTTCTGGTCTTGTAGAGAGATGTAGTTGAAAGGTAAAACCAAAGACAGCATACACTGACCTCAAGAACTCAAGACAGCCCTTAATTTCTTCTTCAATCTTAAAAACGTAAACAAAATATATTAGTTAAAATTTACTTACGTACAAATGTAATTGGATTTACTGAATTCCTCCTAATCAGAATATAAGAATCCATTAAATAAAAAAAACAAACTAAAAATCACATGAAAATTACATCCTACAGCCCCAAATCCAGGTAATGGGTGAAGAGAGAACTGGAGGTGGTGTGGCTTCAAAGCATGGCAAGGAAAGTCACGTTCTTGTTGAGCCTGGGCTTCTGGAGCCAAATTGACGTACTCTTGTCAAGTCTGACTCGTGCAATTTATTCACATAGCTCCACTAAAATCTATGGTATTACTGACAAAATACAATATTTAGTCAGCATTACTAGAGAGAACGAGATGTGGTCAACAGCTTTTTTCTTTGCAGGGGCAGATGGGAGATGTAAAAGATTTTACCTTTTGGATTTAGTTGCCCATTGTATCTTTTTAAAGGGAAAAGTCCTATACAGAAAGTGTTATTATGTAATTCGCAATCAACAATGTCCCTCAAATAACATAGTTTCCTCTTTTGGATAGAAACTTTTTTTTTTTTTTTAATTTCAAAGAGAAAAATAAGTAATACAAATTATGGCACTGCTATTTGAGAAACTTATAACAGAGAAGCTAAGTTCAACAGGCTATTGACTTAAGCAATATTGCAAAAGGTTAAGAAATACGGAATACCAGATGACTAAGAAGGAAGCACCTACATCGATCCAAAAAAACCCATGAAAAGCAGCATTGTGCTACAAAGAAGCACAACAGAAGAAGCTAGAGTTGAAATATTTTGGGGATTTTTTTTCTTGTTTAATGTTGGTTTGCACTGGGAAGGGAAGGGAGGGGAAAAGAAGGGGCGGGTTTTTTTGGTTGACCGGTGGGGGGAAGGTGGTGGTGGTTGGCTTTTGGGGGGTTGGGGTTTTTTTCACCTGTTCTATTGTGCAAAAGATGTGAGCATCATCTTGTTGGAAGCGCCTTACACGAGTCAAGCCACTTAAAGTCCCAGAGAGTTCATTTCGGTGAAGAACTCCAAAATCTGCAAGTCTAAGAGGCATTTCCCTCCAGGATCGTGGACGATGGGCAAACATCAAGCTAGAAGGAACATGAAAAGAACCTTCCTTTTACCCTTCTTACAGAAGATTTAAGACAACGCACAAACTAAAACAGTATCAGTACAGGTAGTAATCACATTTGAAGTATTTACTCATTCAGGTTATCTGCATCATAAGAGGCAAGCAAATGGAAAAAGTGCAGCAATCAGAACACATTGCTAAAGGCCACCTAGAAAAAACACTGTGACAGCAGCAATCGAGACTGGTTCATCTGTACCTTCTTTTGGTATACCACACCTGATGCCTATCTCTAGCCAACATAATTTGTATTTGCTACTGGTACAGACTAGCATTAGCATGCACAAACCCAGCTCGCTTTGTACAGGCTTACTCAAAGATCCTCCTACAGGAACTGTATTTGGTCTGCTTTGGGACACTGTTGGGGAGCTTTCTGGATAGACTACTAAACAACTAGTGTATCGTACACATTCACAATAACATGTATTAATACTCCTTTTATTTCCCGTCAGCCCCACAAAGGATAAATATAGTAAAAGAAGATGTTTTTTAGCTGGAAGTACAAACCAATGTCCTGGACAATTCATCGGTTTAAGGGCAAAAGTTTCCTTCTCGACCTCAAAAGAGAACATGTTTTCACTGTAGTGCTGCCAGTGTCCTGAAGCTTCCCAGAGTTTACTGTTGAAAATGTTTGGAGATACAACTTCAGTAAAATTACGCCTGTGATATTCCTCCTATAAAACAAATTCAACATTTAAAAGGCGATAGAGCTTTTGACAAGCAAAAGCTTCATTCTGTGTTCTTACACTGACAATTTACTGGGAGACTAAAGGCCTGCCGCACATGTAGGCTTTACACGACTAGTAGCAGCACATGTCAATGCTTTCTTCTGTCCTATTTTCAAAAAGGTTAGATCTGCAAAATCATAGTGAAAACCCAGTATATGTTTACACACATAGATGTTTCTCTTTCTGAGGATAGCTCAGTGCTATGAATGGCCTGTTGCTTAAGATCAACAACTGATATCAAGCTTGTTAGGAGTTACATTAGTATACACTCACTCGTATGAAATCCACAAGTGTGTTATAAAGAAAGGCACCTCTGGGGAGGAAAAAGCAGCTTCCAGGACTCAGATCATGAAAGAAGAAGAGTTCTTGCTCCTAGGTAAATGAAAACCAGAATGCTGTAACACCACTTCAGATGTAACTGCAGAAAATGACTACTTCACATATGTTGAGACTCTGTACACAAAAGTGAAATATTACAGCAACAAGATGATTTCCAGAAGTCTGCAAGTTCTCAGCAACAGTAGTTAATTTATTTACTCTTAGAAGTTTGTAATAACACTGGAATTTCATTTGATTCTGTGACTATGTAAATACAGGTTTCCTCAAAACTGAAGCCTTAACCAATCTTACCTTTAGTAACCAAAGCAATTAAGCATATATCCATCGGATCCGAAGGCTGATGGCTGAGCTTGTGAGCCAGTCATTCTTTATCGGAATTCTGTCTCAAAAACTTAAGCTCAGCAGTGCGGCTCTGATACCGAAGAGGCTAAGGTTCTCCAAAGATGTAACATCGATACTGGCTAAGTTTGACTGATACTAGATAATTTGTTTTTGAAAAGGCAAAGGAGTAATCACCAAACAAATGCTGTACAAACATTCAAGTCTTAATGAGTTAATAGAAATAAGCATGAACACTTCTGTAAAGGTCGTTTTCCTACTTCCTCCCTTTGTTACTGTTTTCTGTAAGTTCCTCAGTGGCTCTTCCTCTCCTGAGTTACCCTCAGTTGTTATCTTTGCTTACGAAGGCCCTTCACAGTCTCTTCTTTCGTGACTGCCAGTAAGTAGTGAGAGGTTCATGCCTGTATCCTCTTGGCAAACGATGCTGACCTTCACCTACACGTGAGTTTTTCTAATAAATGCCTCCCTGCTTTCACCTGTACTGCCCGTTATGCCTTTAAACATCCACAAAGCTACTTATTATCTTCTTAAATATCCCCTCTCTAACTCCACCTTCTCTACAAGACTACAGCAAGAGTGACAACAACTAGGAGACTGCATGCCAACATGACTGATAGGTTACAATCCTTCTCTGTGCCAATCTAATGTCTTCCGACTTACACTCAATTTAACAGGTAATCTATTCATTTAAATCTAGTAAAGTATGAACAATAGTCACAACAGCTGAAGTACTGCACATACATAGACTTAACTATTACCTTATTTATGCCTATAATAAAGAATGACCAAACCATATTATTTACACAATTTTCAGTAATTTCTCTCTTCTATGAAAAGACCTTACATTAAAAGGTTTAAGATCTACCTCCCTAAACAGAGGGACTACCCCATGACTTCTTCCCAACATTAGTCTAACATTTATATGCAAATGACAAGCTGAGTTTGTAGAATTAAAATTTTAAAATACAACTGACACGAAGAAATTCATAGAACTGGCTCCCATTCAAACTGTGAAAAAAAATGAACCCCGCCTCCCCTCCCAAAAAAAAACACCAGAAAAGAAAATGAATTCTATTGCAGAAGTGTAAGAGAGAAATAGACCATGAAATGGTGTACCTTTCCAATTTTCCTATGATCCCGGTTTCTGGCTTCTTCCTGGAATTTTTCCCATTCCTTCATCATTTTGTTATCAGGAAAGGATATTCCATATATTCTCTGCAGAGTTTCCATGTCAGACTTGCCTTCCCAATATGTAGAGGAATTCTGATGCACAAAACCCATACTTTAATATTATATAATTTTAGGGAAAAGGAGGAATAAACACTAATGCATCCAAATGTTGTGATTTTTTTCCTTGGGAAAAGAATTATACAGAGTCATCCAGCATTTTTTATAATAAAGATACTTGCCCTGCCTTTCAGTCAGCGTACTAATACAGAAGACAAACAAAAGTGACTGGCCAAGCCATACTTTTATTCTTAGGTACCTTGTTTTGACATTATCTCAGATCGTATCTTCTAAAAAAAAAGCAGCACTTGTTTATGTTCAAATTGTAATGCAGTAGGGAAACACAAAAGACAAAATGAAACTAACTCACTCTCTCAGTTAAATCCCAGCTGTTTTGACAATCTAACACTTAATCCCTGGAGCTGAGAGTTCCATAAACTTCAGTTAGGAAGCCAGCAAAAGCAACTACTGATGAATGTTCCAATGAGGTCAGTCTAATAAGGTTACCAAAATTAGCATCTGTAAGTAACTTAAACTACATCATAACCAGAGATATCTGCAAACACTGCCTCTAGCTTTCCTGTGAGCGATGCCATTTTTAAAGAGCAGCACTTGCACGTCTGCCAGTGTCCACTTTACCTCCTCTACCTGAAAGATAACGTCTTACAAGCTCAAAATACCATATTCTGACCCAATGATTATCTTGGATGGTCATTTACTGCAGAATGGCGCATATGCGCACACTGCACAGAGATATGACAGCTAGTACAGACTCAAACTAGAACATTTGTACTACAAAGTGTAACACAGCCTGGAAATACTAACACAATACTGCCACATTAGCTCATGCACCGCATTTCTCTATTGTGCATGGTATAATTGGTTCCACAGCTAATCTAGTCACTACTAGCTTCTTTTTGCAGTGGTGTGCATTATAGTCTAAGCATGCAAGATGCTGTTAACTTCCCCTGATGTACTTATTGTGATGGTCAAAAATCAGTAAACCTTGGAAGCAGATGAATAATGAAAGTCTGTAGTTCTACTTGCATGACGGGAATGAGGAAAGAAATGAAGGACTATTTTCAGAATAACTAAAGAAAACAATACAAAGGACCCTAGCATAATTGTTTCAGGAGAAAAAAATACATAAATAAATCATCTGACCCATAGTTTAGTTAAGTTTTAATGCACAGGTAATTTAAATTTACCTTAAATATTTTAAGGGCCTTAATTTTTCCAGTGTGTCTCACATGTGGACCCTTGCAGAGATCAATCAGTGGACCACATCTATACACCAAAGAAAAAAGAAGTGTTTATTTCAAGACTCTCCAACATTTTTAAATGCAGTCACTAATGGCAAAAAAGTTAACGCTTGACATGTTCGAACATACTAAAAAGTATTCACATGCAACACTCAGCAAATTCAGTGCATCTTAAATGTAATTGTGCCTTCTACCTGAAGCAGAATAGTCACTCAGTAAATACTCAGCATACTCGATCCATTATCAAGAGCACTGTACCACATTCAGCAATTCATACAGGTCCGTATGTAAACTTTGTTAAAGTCAGCCAGGAGATTTCAAACTATGCACAGAGAGAAAAAAAAAAGCTTTTGCTATTTTCCAACTAACTAGTTTTATCCCTGGCAATCGAATGAACAGGATCCTCACCCCAACTGAGCTAAGAGTTAGCTTCACCCATTATCCAGCACTTCAGTGTCAGAGTGGTAACTTATGTCAGTCTATTCACTGAAACCAGAGGGAATGCGTGAGAAGTGGATTTGCCACTTGTCCACAAGTTGAGACCTAATCTGTCCCAGCAGAGAAAGAAAAGATCTGATTTTACTTAAGTAGCAATATTAATTGCAAACTTAAGTCCCAATCACACAAGTATTCAGAAGTTAAAATCAGAAAAAAAACTATTTCTTCTCCTCTCAATTTAAATGAAATATACTTAACTACAGAAATGTTTCATAATAGCTTTTAACTTAATTTTGCTTACCTGTATATTGTGGTAGTTGGCGTGTTCACCTTCTCATTAAGGATACGACACTTAAACTTGTTATACTGTGTGCGGAAACACGAAGTCAAAAACATCAATAAAATGGCTAATAAAATTCTATTTTAAAATTATCTATTAATAATGCAAATGCATCAGTAAAAGGCAGAACTAAAAAGTCACATGAACACATATACGTTTGCAAAAGTTCAACGTCCTTTCAGAGGAGTCATAAAACAAGAGGGGAAAGAGACAAAAATATCTGAATTTCCCTGAGAGCGTGTTAAGGATAGTGATTACCACCTTTTGAAAGGCAATTAAAACACAGTACAGTGAGACTGGTAATATTCACTGTACAAAACAGAGGACTAAAGGACAAAATCTTTTTTGACTTGTGTCTGCAAGTGAGCCAGATTGAATGTATACCTTTTGTGTACTAATTTCTTTGTCATCTCATTGAGCTTGACGTGTTTTTGTGTAATAAGTTGTTTTTATTATTGCCTGAAAATATTCTGAATGCTTGAAAGGGGGAAAAGGATGCTATTCTTTTTCTTTGTTTTACTAGACAGGTACTATTCTGATGAGTCAGTCACAAGCAGTATTTTGTAAAAGTTACATTTTAAAAGGCCATTGTACCAGAATCACAGCTACTCCAAAGATTTACCTTAAACATGTCTAACAGGATCTCCTTTTTGACTTCCAGCCTTTCAAAAGCCTGCTTCTCTTTTATGATATTTTTACAGCTGTTCTCTAGTAGTGGGAATTCAGTACTGGATACACCTCTAAACAGACAGACATGGGTAAAAGAAATACAAATTATTTATTTTGATAGTCCCATTTTTTAAGTGACCACTTTCTAGTGGTCTAATTTGAAAAACATGAGATATGTTGTTGTGATTTGTCACAGTATTTTCTTAGTTTCTTACAATCAGACACTAAACTCAGAAACACAAATTGTATCACCCTGAACAACCCCACTGCAATCACTCCTAGAACGGTCTTTGACATGTTTAAATGTCTGGAAGATCTGTAGCTCAAAGTATCATTTAAGAAAAAAAAAAGTTTCAACCCATCTGCAAGAGCTAGTTTATCAGCTGATGCAGATTCAGTATTCTCCCTGACTCCAGAAAGATAAATACGGGAAAAACAGAATTGTAAAGCTGTGCACAAGGATTAGAGAAGTAGTAAACACCTATACGAGTTATATGTATACGTGCCATTTCTACAAGTGACTATGGCACTCTGAAACCAAACTCCCATGATTCTTCATGGAAACAGACTCCTGTATCTCCCAGGAACTTCAGAAAGTTTTACCCAAACACTCTACATTTTTTTCACACAACATGCAACAATTCCAAGTCTTAAGGAGCAGGTGTCTGAACACTGCTCTTGAATTTAAGTAGACATACGCACTCAGTATATATGTATACAGAGACCTCTACTATGAAGAGGACTAACCTGTCAGTTTTAAACCATACCAGATATGTGATTTTACTTTTAACATGCAGAAACATGACTGAGCAAAAATAATTCCAGTACTTAGCTTCAATACAGAGTATTAAAGTTCCCAGACACTGAAATTTTACCTATCTTCAATATACATGTCGTAATAAAATCCGTTCTCAATTGGTGGTCCATAGCATAAACAGCCCCCAAAATAACCTTCCATGGCCTCTCCAAGAATATGTGCACTTGAATGCCAATAAACCTGCAAATAAAGTCAGGTGAGAAAGTCATGGGGTCACTGGCATTGTGTAACTACAAAGAAAAAGCAACAGAGGTATATCTGCAGACGGGAAATACACTGGAATCAGTGTTGTTTAAGTTCTGTGAGAAGTATAACATTTTTCTGTTCTCTTTTTGAAGTATGCTAGTAGATCAATACCAGTTTTATGTCCTAAGTTCCTATTAATTCAGACCACTTTATAGCCACTGCTACAACATAAAGCTTTTATAGGCTCCTGAAATGCCTCAAACAAGTTTAATCACATAAGTAATTCTTTGACAAAATTAAGTCTAATTCTAGTGCATAAAGATAAACATAGGCTTAGGACTCCCATAAAAAAAAAAATCTTGGGTATGTTGCTAAGTATATTCACAGTTTAACTGACGAAGACATGCCTACTTAAGTTTCTAATAAACAGTGCTGTTACAAGGACATATAGATTTTATTTATGACTCAAATCTGATATTGGACAATTTTTAGAAAACTCTAAGACAACCTCACTGCTGCTCTCAGCATCTGATCTTCAAACGCACTGAGTCAAACCACTGAACATGTGTCTTGGAAGAAATCAAACTATTTCAAGTCAGCATACAAATCAAATTCTATACAATCTCATTTAAGAAATAACCTGTTTAAATAAAAGAGAAGGGAAGAAAAGAACACTAAGATTTTGTTCACCTATAGATTATAGGTACTTACTTTCTTTGTCAAATCATTACAAATACATTACTTCAATAGTTTGTGTTTTTTTTTTAATTCAAGAATTTAACAGCATAATGCTGCAATCAATTTCATGTCATTAGTTCCTTCAATCAAGCAGAAACCAATGAGTGTTTACTCACAGCTTTTGCTTCTTCATTATCAAACATAAGCAGCTCCAGGGTACAATCTCCCTCCAGTGGACGATCCAGGTCCCACAATTCACCATTCACTTTGGCTATGATTGTATTTGAAGCCAACCCTTGACTAAAACCCACAAATGATGACAAGAGACCAAAATATTGAGGCTCAGATTTGCAAAAGTGCTTAGGTTTCTAAACCCCGTGAGACCCCACCCACATCTCATAGAACCTAAAGACCTTTAATTTTTGTTTCTGTGGTCGTCTTAAAACACTTTTCTACTTTTAAGGTACAGACCCTTATGGTCTTAAAAGTTTCAAACAGTGGTTTTCAGTGCTGGTGATCTGGAGGAAAGACTGCTTCTACTGTTATCTGGTAACTCACAAAACTTAAGATGTCTCTATTAATTCCTGGCAGTCTCTCTGATTGCTATATTCTTCATTTGGAAGCAAGCATTATGATCCCAGCACAGAACCTCAAGCATCACTCAGAACAGTAATTTCACCCAGCTATTTCTTCTGCATTACGCTGAAGTTTCAATGATGCTTCCCAAATAAACCAACTTAAGTGTTACCATCCACTGACCGTGACATATATATTTTATGCAACAAGGTAAGAGACAAAAGATAGTAAAAGAATTATCACTGCAGAAGTACCACTCTTTCAATCTGCAGGTTACCTAATTCCTACAGCTAATTGATATGGTGTGGTTTTCCAAGATTCTCCTTCAGCTATCTTTCCATCTGTCAGAATAATTTTGATAGGTTTGCTCTGGTTGGCCGCTCGGTAAGCTAGCAAAGTATCATGTTCTTTTTTCAGTGCTTCATAAAGCTTCATTCTGTCTTCTATGAAGCTTGGCTCACACTGTAGCTGTAACAAATAAATAAAATCATACACGTATATATTTGTGAGAAAAATAAAAGGGTTCACAGTGTCCATGCATCCCTAGAGGGTCCAAATGAGACCAGATTTCACTGTAATAGAATTTATACTAATGTGCAGTAAAGCTTTTGTAAGTAACTACACACAGGATAGTCCTATCCAACTTATTATTTTATAGTGGATTTCCAATTTTTCAATGCACCTTCATCAGTCTGGGCCTAAATGCCTTTGTGAGTTTGACCTCAGAGAGCAGCCTGTATTCCTGCCCCAGAATTTGTATTTGGCTGACATCCTAGAGAAGTCTGGATCACTCCAACAAGCCCTCACTTCTGCTGGTCCATTGAAAGCATCAGATTCAAATAAGACAGTTCATGGGGAGTTTCCTTTAGTTTAGCATAAGGTTAATTATTAAGATGTATTGAACCACAGCTAGTGCTGGCAACATTCTCCTTCAGTCATCATGTGTGCTGTTTAACTATCCATGAACCATCACTCTCTTTAGGAACCACAGTACCCCGACCATTATTTTGAAATGGCCCAAATTCTGTTACATAAGAAGGAGAGCTCTAAGAATGTATAAGTAACCCTACTAATTACATGCAAGATGAAGCTCTTAGAGAATGATTTTTTCCACATGCATGCTATAGCAAGCCTTCCTCCCAAAATTCAGGATTTCAAAACAGCGAGTATTTCAGATTTCAGCATCTTTTCTGAACCCAGCCAAACAATACTCCTTCTTCTATTATTATATGGTATAAAATAACCACTTACATCATTCTGATGTTGGTTGACAGCTTCTTCTTCTTTTTTCTTTTCCTCTTTATTTTGATTCACCACAACAACTGGACTGGCACTGAAGACTTTCTGAAAACAATGGTAATATGAAGGATACTCCTTTAAGACTTTTCCCAGCAGTCATTGAAACAAAAAAGACCAGTTCAGTACAATATTAGACTAAAAAGGCAATTATAATTGAGTAAGATATGTCCTTAGTGCAGCAGAAAGACTTCTCTTGATATATCTAAATTGCATCCTTTCGACGTTCAGCAGACACAGCAAAACTGCTCAGCAAGCAAAATCTTCTCAACACAATTTCCCCAATTTTACTACTGCAACCATCACCGGCACAATCTCCCCAGCGAGACCCTGGGAGATTAAAACGGCCTAGTGAGCAGTAAAAACAACTTTCGGTGGTCTGATAAACTTACTCCACCTTTGCGAAAAGGCAGGGACTAGCGGGAGTAGCGCTGCGAGCGCGGACCGAGACCGCGGCGGGCTTCCACGCCCGAGAGCAGCGCC